TAGTTGCCACACTGGAAAGTCCTTGGCTTAGGGCATCCTGGATCATGCATTTTACATATGAGGACACATAAGCCCAGATACACTGCCCAGCTTGAACTGAATCTCACACAGATAAATTAGGGGGTAAAGTTGGTATTAGAGCTTGGGTCTCCCCATTCCTAGCTCAGGCCCTTGGCTGGAAAAACCTGCAGACTGGAAGACTGGCCCATTCTCTCTTCTGGCTCACATTTGACACCACCAAGGGAAGCAAATCAGTCACACTCCTCCTCATTGGTGGGGGTGGGATATGGGGGGCACCCTGCTGTATGTTGTCTATTTTCAGCCTCTGTATATGGCCTGCTCCCTGCAGGCTCACTGGGGCTAACAGACTGCTGTGGGATTTAAAGCACTCTCCATGTTGCTTGGCAGTTGCCATGCCAACAAAATTTAATGGAAATTGGGTTTTCTAGTAGATTATTTTAGTGGCGGCTTTAAAGCCAGATTACAGTTCCAACTCTGAAGCTTAAATAATGCAAGTGATTAGTACTGGTCTATAGTAGGTGCCCCCTAATACTTGCTAAAAAACAGGATGAATACATGAATGCAGTTAGTTGCACTAGGGAGCTGAAGATGTAGCAGCAGAGAACTGATCTGCTACTTAAAGTCAGTATTTAGAGTCAGTCTGGAGCAAGTTTACTCATATCCTCCTTGAATTTTCATAATTAGCTGACACTCTGTGTGTAAGCTGATTTGTCTGATTCCAAAAGACTGCCTCTGATCTTCAGGCCATTTATGAGCTCTGCAACCCAGGGGTCCCGGCTGCACACAGCTGCATGTTGCAGACATGGAAAAGGTAGCAGGAATCTGACCAGGGAAACTTGCAGGTCTTTAACAGGGGCAGGGAACTTGTGCACATCTGAGAGGGTCAGTGCTCAGTACTTATAAGGATGCATTTTTGCAAATATAATCACCATATTTAATGAACACATTTGTTTAAATAACCTGTTTCAAGCAACCTATGTTTGAAAGGCCCATCTCTAGCCACAGTGAGTGAATATTATCAGATAAGCAGACAGTCAGGGGAGCTCATAAATCTCTGTTCAGTTCCCAGGTCTCTTAGCAAGTATTCTCTGAAAATCCCGACTGACAAGTTCTTTCCCTTCTCAATAAAATCTACTTTCTCTATTAATCCCTTGGCCTTCCTCTCTCCCTCCTTCTTCCCTTCCTATTTCTGACCTTGTCTTCCTCCCTTCCTGCCTGTTCATCCATTCTACTTCCCATTCTCTTTTGCTCTCTCCCTCCCTCCTTCCTTCCTGTGGCAGCAAAAAAAGCTGTCTTTTGGAGTCAAAATTAGATTCAAATTCTTACTGTCTCTGATGCCTATTTGTAGTGTGACGTTCCGCGACTTTCATTACATCTCAAGCAGGATTTTTGTGTGTGTGTGTGTGCACAAGGCACTACCAGTGTCTGTTTTGGATGGTTATGGCAACAGTGGAGTGTTTCTCAAACTTTCAGTGGGCATGAGTCACCTAGGGAGATAGGCAAAAATTCGGATTCTCAAGATCCATACCCCTAGACTCTAATCCATTAGGTCAGAGTCCCAGGTATCTGCATCTTAACAAGGTTCTGAAACAGAGAAGTCAGCATTCTGCTGCTTATCACTACCAGAACCAGGAAATAGAGATAAGGATTGAATTTTTATGGGTACTTTATTCAGATGCTGGTGATCTGCAAAAAATGATGGGTTGCATATCCTCAAAAAAAACTGTCTTAACATCTCATTTCAAGCTGACCTTTTTTTATAGGAAGAAGGAAATGGTAGGTAAGGGGTTTGAAAAAAGGTTAATCAGATAAGAATTGCAGTCCAGTGGCAATTTCCCTAGTATTTCTTTATCTGCTGACCAAACCATTCTTTATCTGTGTCAAGGACATCCCCTCCTTGGAACACAGGGGCTCAGACATCGTCTGCATCCCTTGCAGACACCCTGGGCACAAAGGTGAATTGCTAGTTGACCACCTAGAATTGAGTAGGTCAGCATTCCCCTTCCTTGAATAACAGCTTTCCAAACACATTCCTCACTGAAGCCTGTCTGTCATCTATGACTGAAGGTAAGACCTTTAACTGTTGGGTTCCCCTATCAGTCTGGACTTCAAGGGTCTTACTTTTAGAAACACTGTATATATATGTAAATGCTTAGAAATCTCATTCAAAAACGAGATTTGTTGGAAATATTCAGAAGGTGGGAGCCATGATCATTATTAATTCAGTAAACATTTATTGAACATCTACTGTGTATCAGGCATGATACCAGGCTCTATAGTTATGTCTCACTTAATTTCTTTTACTGGGAATTAATTTGTCTTCTATGTATGCCTTGCCCCATCCCACTACATGTATGTTCCTAAAGGGCAGGATGAAGCAGTATAATGTATCAGAGAAGAACATAAATGTTAGAAGACATGAATTCTCTTTATTATTTATATGATTTTAGACAAGTCATTTTATCATTCAGGACTTTATTTTCTTCATCAAAAATTGGAAAGGCACTGAGCACAGTGGTTAAAAGTCCAAAAGTTTAGAGTGCTGACCCTAATGCTTTCTAAGTATGTGATCTCAGGAAAGCAGCTTAACTTCTTCGTGTTTCAGCTTCCTTTTACATGCAAAGGGGATTAATTTGTTCAACATTCATTCCTTCAATAAATACTTATTGAGCACTTTCTATGTGACCAACACTGTGCTAGGTACTAGAACACATTGGAGAGTGAGACAGATATGGTCCCTGACTCATGTAGCTTACAATTTAATAGTGGACAAAAATATTAAATAGGTAACTACATAAATAACTAATTCTACTGTGGTAAATTCTGTTCTGATAAATTTAACTAGTAGGAGCTAACCTAGCCTGGGGGAATCATAGAAGATCTCCCGGGATAGGGAAGATTGGGCCCTGAGGGATGAGGAGGCATTACCCAGAAAAAGAAGAACCTGAGATTAGAAGAAGCTGGGCTCTTTTGAAGAAGTAAAGGGATGCCTCAGTGCTGAACACTGAGTGCACAAGGTCTCCCTCACACCTCACAGGTGTGGAGAGAATTGAGATAATAAAGTGCTTAGCACAGTGCCCAGCACCGAGAAGCATAATAATCATGGAGATAACACATCTGGTTTGTTGTAGACAATGTATGAAGAAGTACTGTGTAGTTTCTCAAATTATACCATTCATCAGAATCACCTGGAGGGCTTTTGAAACCACAGATTGCTTAGTCTGACCTCCACAGTTTCTGATTCAGTAGGTCTGGCTTGAGGTACATAATCTGCAATTCTAATCTAACAAATTGCTAGATTATACTCATGCTCCTGGTGTGTGTGTGGAGGGGGGGAAGACGAGGGGATTTGGGATTTGAGAACAACTAGTGTAAATTGTGAGGTCCTAAATGCCTGTCAATCAAAGTTGAATCTCCCACAATGGTCAGCTCTAGACCTTGTACAGAACAACCTCTCCATAATTATTTGATAATACATGTTCTTTATATTTTTAGAGTGAGAAAAGGCATTCAAAAATCCACACCCTTTCATTTATACAGTAGAGGAACTCAAGAACTAGAGAAGGTGGGAATGCCACCTAAGAAATGGGAGCAGCCTGAGCCCAAGAGCTTTTCCTCATGAGATGGCACTTTTGGTGCATTTTGCCGCAAAGGAGCCTCTGAGAGTGGCTTACCACGCATGCTCCCTACATGGGCTAAATGACCAAGATGACCTGGCCCTCCATGACCACGCCTTGCATATTCAACATTTTCTTACTGAATAAAGTGATTTTTGGACTAGACATATTTTTGGGAGTCATGAGATAAATTCAATGAAATATATGCTTTTCAAAGAGAATATATCTCACCACAACTGCCTATCACACTTTATGTGGAAACAAGTACATATTAGCTTGACCTGTCTTTTCTGTTTTTTTTAATGTATGTAGTACCCTCTGTTGTAGTAATAATATTAATAATAAAAACAAATGAAAATGATAGCTTATTTTATCGGTATCTGGGTCAGAGAGTGCTTTACCCTTGTCACCTCCGTGAGTCCTCATCACGGTATTAGAGGTTGCGTCCTGATTATCTCCACTTCACAGATGAAGAGTCCAGGCCACAGAAAACTCATAATTTGATATATGTCCTAGAGCTAGGATTTGAATCCTAGAACTAGAACTTAAATCAAAGTTTACTCCAGAGCTTGGGTTCTTAATCACAAAGATGTGATGATCCATTTGTCCAAAAAAAAAAAAAAAGGAATCACTGTTGAAATGTAATAGTAAGCTCTGAGACCAGAAATGCCCTGAGGAGTCAAGAAGATACGTTTAAATAACTGTCTACACAGGAACAAACTTTCCTTTTAACAAGAAAATCCAACAGTAACGTGTCTACTGGTTTCATATTTCAAGAGTTAGAATAGGAATATACCAAAACAGACTTTTAAAAATAAAAAGCTGAGTCACTAGGATCCTTCAGAAGGGAAGAAATCTGTCTTTAGAATAAATCTAGCTTCTGTGGGACGGAGGGGCCATGTCCCTCAGATATAGGGGTGTGGCTGGGGGTCTTGTTGCTTTATTTATTCACAACCCATATATATCACTAGATTTACTTCTGCCGGTTAACTTACCGCCAGGACACTCGGCTAGGAAAGCAAGAGTAGCCTTTCTAGGCTAGTTATTTTGGGATATCCTCGCCCTGTTGCTTAGCATGAAGAGGTCCTAATATGATACCTGGACCTTTCTGCCGGCAGATTTTCGAAGAGGATACTTGGCCATGCTTCATCCGCATTCACATTCCCCTTCTCCCCAGTAAATGTAAAGTGCAAAAAAGCTTGCCAGGGCCTGCAGAAGGCACAGCGCCTCCAAGGCTGGCACGCATTTCTTCTTCCCTCCTACGGGGAACGATCTCAGCATCTCTCCCCGCGTGTCAGTGGAATACTGAGCCGGAGCCCCAGCCCGAGCCCCAGCCCGGGCTGGGGGAAGGGAGACCGCGTGCCTAGCAGCCGGGCAGAGTGCTGGTGTCGCCCCACAACCGCCGCGCTCCAAAACCCCCTGGTGCGCTCGCTCTCTAGAGCGGAGTGCCACGCAGCCCACCGCCCCCGCAGGCCTGCACCACGCTCCGCCCTGGACGCCGCTCGTCCCGGCGCCGGGGTGCGCGCGGGTGGGAGCGGGCCCGGCTCATCCTGATTTACGGCTCTGCTGAAAACCGCTTCGCTCCCACAGCAGTAGCACCGGCCGCAGCAGCAGCAGCAGCAGCGGCTGCAGGTGCAGCAACAAGTCGGGTAAGTGGCGGCCGCGGGGCATCTGCGGCTGTGGCCCAGCCCCGTGGGTGCAGGGGAGCGGGCCAGCTGGGGCTGGAAAGGAGGTCTCGTTTCCGCCCCGCAGCGGGGAGTTGTGCTTCTCGGCCCCGCACCTGCACGAACTCGTGTGCGCACGTAGCCACTTTGGCACCCTTGGTCTGGCTTGCTGCAAGGCGGGGGTGGTGAGACCCGGGACACCGGAGTCAGGGTCCTTACCTACCCTGCCCAGGCAGAGGAAATTAAAATTAGGGCTTTTCTGCTAACCCTGTATTCTGGGGTTTCCGCTGGGCCCTTGAAAGCTTGCATACTCCCGGACTGTGTGATTACCCATTTCGCCCTCCAGAATGCCACCCCTTTCCCATTGCTTCTTAGAATCCTGACTTCCCCTTCCTCCACCTCTCACCAGCATGTTCAGCCAGGGTTTGCTTATCATTTATCATTCCAGAAAACTGGCGCTTAAACAGTCCAGTGTAGCACAGGAAGAGGTTCCCCTTTCTGGGGGCCAGGGGCTTATTAACCTGAAAGCGTTGCCTTAGCTGTCTGGGGACCATTTGCACCTCTGCTTTTGAAGAAGTTGGGGGCCCCAACTTCTTTTCAGCTTTCAGAAGGGACCCTTAGCTGAGCTCCTTCTTTTGGGAGCCCAAAGCTTCTTATGTTTAAGTAGAAATCATTTCTGGAGAAATAGATATTGTGCGCTGCTTGCAGAATTGGGTTGCTAGCAGTCATCTGTTGCTACGGCTAAGATAAGAAATTCCTACAATGAAATAAGAACATCCTGCTATTAAAAGAGTTATGCTGGTGCCTACCCGGTTCAAACATTGGCCATCTCTAGAGGTTGTCTTTAATGTCTAGGGGTTGATCCTTAAAATAGGATCAGAGACAAGATAAATCCATCCAGAGCACCCTATTTTAATTAAGCCTTAGCCATGGTCCACTTAGATCAAATAATATTTGTTACATTGGATTCCTAAATTTTAAGTCGAGTATGGAGGCCATTGTTCTTATAACACTTTGATTTATATCATAACATCAATAATTAAAGGAGAAAATTAAGGGAAAAATGTGAGGCTAAAAAATTTTCAGCTGAGTGCTTAATGCCACACATGGAGTTTCAGTAACATCTTTTCTGTCCTTTAGAAAAGATCACTGAGCTTGCTCTCTTAGGATCTGTTTGGACAATTCATGCTGAGTTTTCCTTTTTTTTTTGTATTTATGCTTATTGGGTTGTTAGTAAAATAGGGCATAGTTTTGCAGTGAGTGTACTAAATTCAGAATGGCAGGAAACTTGAATCCATGTCTGGATCTGACATTTTCCATTTAACCTTGAACTAACTACATTACCTCCTTGCTCCAGTTGTATGTGAAAAAAGGGGATGTTACCCACCCTTTTTATCCTGGCCAGGGATTAGCAAACTTTTTCTGTAAAGTCCAAGTAGTAAGTATTTTTGGCTCTGCAGGTCATAATCGGTTCAATGCAAAAGCAACAATAGACAATATGGAAATTGGTGGGTGTGGCTGGATTTGGCACAAGGATTGTAGGTTTTGATTTAATTTAATTTTTTTAATCTTCACCCTAGGACATTTCTTCATTGCTTTTAGAGAGAGAGAAAGGGAGAGAGAAACATCGATGTGAGAGAGAAATATCAATTGGCTGTCTTGGAACCTGTAACCTGGGTATATTCCCTGATCCCTAATCGAACCCAAGACCTTTGGGTTACAGGTTGATGCTCCAGCTAACTGCGCTACACCAACCAACCAGGGCAGGTTTTAATTTTATATTATATGCAAAAGTCATTTGAAACAAAGCCCTCTGCCCTTATGGAGATGAACAACAACAGTCATTTCAGTAGGAGTTTTTAAACAGACATGTAAACTACCTGTTTTATGTTTCCCTGCCCAGGACTTTTAGAGTAATGCAACAGAAGGCTTTTGAAGAAAGCAGATACCCCTGGCAGGGATCCTTTGAGAATGTTGCTGTGTGCCTGCCATTCCGCTGCCCGAGGTGCGGAGACCATACCAGGTTTAGAAGCCTGTCGTCGTTGAGGGCCCATCTGGAATTCAGTCACAGCTACCAGGAAAGAACCCTATTGACAAAATGCAGCCTCTTTCCATCCCTCAAAGACACAGACCTAGTCACTTCCTCAGAACCCCTGAAACAGGGGAAATTGCAGAACTGTGGCAATGTAGTAAAGCAGAAACCCAGCTATGTTAACTTGTATAGCATTTCGCATGAACATTCCAAGGACAGGAAGCCATTCGAGGTGGTGGCAGAAAGGCCTGTGTCCTACGTGCAGACCTACACTGCCGTGGACCTACGTGCTGACTCTCTGGATGAGCTGCGGTCCAGTCCCGGACTTCCCAGCCCAGACGCCAAAGCTGCTTTCGAGGCCCATATCCGAGAAAAATTCAATCGGATGGTTGAGGCAGTGGACAGGACCATCGAGAAGAGAATCGATAAACTCACCAAAGAGCTGGCCCAGAAAACTGCAGAACTGTTGGAAGTCCGGGCAGCTTTTGTCCAGCTGACTCAGAAAAAGCAGGAAGTTCAGAGGCGAGAGCGGGCCCTAAATAGACAGGTGGACGTGGCCGTGGAGATGATCGCAGGGCTGAGGCAACGCCTGACGGAATCTGAGGAGGAGCTTCTCAGGAAAGAAGAGTAAGTGGCGCTGAAACAGGATGCTAACCCCTTTGCTTTAGACCACTTCCCACCCTGCCCTGCCCAAGTTACATGCAAATGTTAAACAAGGTTTGGATTTTATGACTTGCATGTACCTTGGGTTCATTTCTTATTGATATAGTTGAATGTGGAAGGCACAACACTTTAAATATTACTTGCCCTCCTTGTGTATGGTCTGCAACCCAGCAATCTGAAAGCCAAAATATCTGATTCGTTCTCATCATGGAAATTGTAAAAGTACAGGTAATGTTTTTAAAGAGAGGAGTAGTGCCTTGTTTCTGTGGTGGGTGCCATTCCTAGCACCCAATGGTGCACAGGGGAGTTGAATGGGAGGGCAGAAAATACCTGCCAGGGAGCCTTCCTTCTTGACGGTCTCCACATAATAAAGTCAAGAACTTGAGTTGCTGTCATTCAAGTATAAAACTATGCTCTATATACAAATTGGCTTCTTTGTCGTTTTGGATTATCTGCCCATTGTAACTAAATGTCTATTGCTGAGGATCCATTCAATTATACTTTTTATTTGGAGGTCACAGACATTAAGCAACTCAGAGGAAACTTTCTAATATTGCTGTGCTTCTGTGAATTAAGTTTGGAAATTTTCATTTTATAAAATGTTATGTCATACTAGAGTAAGCCATGCCTGCTTGCAAAGAGTTGACACTGGTTTTTACAAGTTATAGTTGATCAGATAAGCTAATACTTTAAAACTCATACTTGGAAAAACATTTCCTTATCAGTAATTATGGAAATGTTATCCCATAACTAAACCAAACTAACCAAACTAAAAAAGTATACATAACAAACTAAAACAGTATATGTAACAATGCATTAATGAATTTCCCAAATGCAGAATGTTGGATTTAATTTTAAATGGAGGCTGAGAATACATAGATGAAAGGACATAAAAATTGATAAACTAAAACATCTTAGAAAGAAGGTTTCCAAATAATTTGAGTTCTGTTATAGAGGTTGATGTAATTTCATACTTTCCTGCCCTCTGGCACTCTTGTTTATGTGTTGTCTCATAATGTGTAAAACTTAAAGTTCCTGCACTTGGTGAGAGGCTGAGAAGCCCTATATAGTAAAGAGATCACCACTCACTATCATTAAACACTTCCATTCTGCCTAGAGGGAAAGCCTGCTCTGCTCCACCAGACATTTTTCAAGTTACGTAGTGAGGGCGAATTGATTCAGCCACTGATTTGCTTTGAACTTTGGGAAATGATACCTAATGAAAAACATTTTTCTGTTGGCATGTGGTGTTTCCTGGTGGGAAGTTAGTGCCTGGACCCCTTGTGGCTCCAGGCAACTAACATTGCACCACTGGGAAGATGCCGGATGGCGTTCCCCTGTGTGCAGAGAAAAGCTTAGAATTAAATTTTGTGGTATTTCTGTTTGATTCAAGAGCAGTGAACTAAAAAAGGTAACCAAATTAATTTTTTGTATTTATTTGTTGTATTTTATTTATTGAATCGATTAGTAGTAATTGAGGTGGGGTTTGAGGTGGTGATAGCCTAGAGTCAGGAAGACACTGTGTTGGCAGGGAGGGTCATATGGTTATGTCAAGGTTATGGTCAAGGATCTAGCTTTATTGTGGGTGATGGGTTCAAGGATGTTTTATTATTAAAAAGAACTGGTTAACTATCTTAAGTAAAAGTGGGCCACACATGGATCAATAATGATAATGTGTTTTGGTTAATCCAGTGCTCTCAGCTGAGGACCAATTGAAAACTGAAAAACTAAGACATACTTATAAAAAAAATTAACAAGGTAGAATTGTATGTGTTAGAAGTCCTCCCTTCTCTCCAGGCATACCCTGGCCCATCCTTTGGAGATAGCCACCATTTAGTTCAGCAAATGGCCTTCCAGACATTTGTTGTATGCATAGAATCACGTGTACCTTATCCACACAGAATGTAATCATGACACATGCTATTCTGCCACTTGTGTGTGGGGTTTGTTTTTGTTTCAACATAGTATGCTGTAGGCCTCTTTCATGCAGCAAACATAGAATTATGTCATTCCTTTTGGCTGTTAGATGGTATTCCATGGTGGGGATGCATGGTGACCAATTTAATCAGCTTGCTATTGATGAATACACGGCTTTGTTCCTTTTTCCTAGTATTAAAAGTGGGGCCTCTGTTAAGGTCCTTGTACATATACCTTTGTTCACATTTTTGTGAGTATATCTGGGGGTAAAGTATGAGTTGATTTTTAGTATGACATTATTTTAGACTACCAGAAAAAAAGCAATGTCATTAAAAAAAACATTTAAAATGAAACTACAGTGAAACTGCCTTAAATGTTTAAACATAAAATGAAGAAAGTCTTCATTTTGTAAGCCTTCAGTTAGCCTGCTCCATCAATTTCTGTCTTCAAGCCTCAAATAATCATTCTTTTTGTCCATAATATAGGACTGAAGGAGTTTTGTTTCCAGGAAGGACAGTGGAGCTCTTGGTTTGATAGAGCATCTGTGGCCCTTGCCCTCATTGTCTGCAGTGTCCAGCCTCCCTGCCATCTCCACCCCAACCCCTGAAACGGGGATGCAGAGCGAGCCAGCAGGCCACCTGCCACGCCATTGAAACCAGGTTGATTTGACTAGATCTGCCTGGCTGGGCCGTGCCCCTTCCCTCCTTACCACTTCCTCACAGGACTGAGCCTTCCACCAAAGAGACGACCTTTAAGATATGGGAAGCTGCTCTTTTTTTGTTTTAATAGATTTATTTATTTTTGGATAAAGAGAGGGACAGCAACATCAATGTGTGGTTGCCTCTTACATGCCTCCCACTGGGGACCTTGGCTGGTGACCCAGGCATGTGCCTTGACTGGGAAGCAAACTGGAGACCTTTTGGTTTGCAGGCTGGTGCTCAATCCACTGAGCCACACCAGCCAGGACTGAAGCTGCTCTTTGACCAAGGAACCCACCAAGAGCTGTGCTCCCCTGCGAAATCCTTCCAAATTAGCTCTCGTGGCCCGTTTGTGGGAAAAAGTATGTTGTTATAATAACATTTGAAATTGACTGAAACTTTGGAGAGGCAAACATCAAGTATTTAATATTCACATGAGTTTCTCTTACTTATGGGTTTTCCCCTCAACTTTAAAATCCTTTCTTTCAAACTGTATTCTGAGGGCCAGTTCCGCCCTTAGGCCATCTATAGACTGAATCACCTCAGCTTGTAGATGTCTACAAGTATTTATGCTTTGTAACAGAGGAGATTGTTTAAATTGGCAATATTGTAAGCCTCCATGCTGGTGAGTCTCTTTTTACCTTTGTAGAGAGGTTGCTATATGTTTCTGGAGAGCGAATCCAAGAAAGAAATTTCTCTTTGTCTTCACAAAGTGAGTGCAATTTTAAATGTCCTATGGAAACAGTTATTTACTTATTCAGGAGTGTTCAGAGCTGTAGGGTAGCGCTGCACGTAATCAGGTAAATCAATCCCAGCCATCCTCGCAGTAAGGTATCCCTTAACGAGAAAGGATGGCTGTGAGTACTAGCTGATTCCTGGCTCAGTCAGTCGCCTGGGGTTTGGAGAACATCAGTGTAATAACAGTAAACCTGAATTTACTTGCACACTCTCTTCTGCTGGTAGGGTTGGAAAGTGCGGCCTAAGCACCTGGAAGGAACCCGGCACTGTGCTAGGTGTGTGTGGGGAGCATGAAGTTCTTGGTATTTTTCCCTAATGACCTTACACTTTACATAGAAAAATCAACATACCCAGGGACATGCCCATGTTCAAACCCAGAGCTATGAACAACTGCTTAAATACAAGCCATGGTTTCAAGTAAAACATTAGAGACCAGGTTTTTCTGTTTAAGAGGCCACAGTGGGGCAGAGAGGACGAAGGGCAAGAATTTGCATTGGTAATCAGAGGACAGCAACACTGAAGGACAGCAGGGAGGTTACAGATGATCCTTGAGGGGACTGTGTAATTTTAGTTCTGGAAGGTACCCCCTGTCTCCTTCAGGATAACACCTTCATTTTATGGATGTGGAAGGTAAGGCCCAGAGCAGTGGAATGCCTCACCTAAGGACAAAAATTGAGTATCAAAGCTGAAACTGGAACCCAAACTCCCTGTCTCTCTGCTGAGTGCTTTTTCTATTAATTCACCATGTTTTAGCCAGACTTTTGAAAATGTGGTATTTGCCCAAAGTGTCAAGACCTAAGAAGTATTGAATCTGGCCCATTTTGGAATGGACTTGCTTCTTTGTGATTTTGAGAGGGCTGCCAGGATGACATCATTTATTTTTCTGATGTGATTAAAGAAAATGTCAGCTGGCATCTTAGGTGTTGGGAAATGGAAAATGGTGGTGTCATTAGGTATGGTTCTGATATTAAGCTTCCAGAACAGGAGCCCAGGGCTTTTCACTTCCAACAAGGGCTTTTAAACTTGTTGCTCTGCATGTCCACGCCCAGCCGGGGTGGAGCACGAGCCCCCAGCCCTTGATTGCTGCAAGGGGCTTCCTTGTAATTCTGTCTCTAAGACCCAGCCTGCTCCCTTGAGAGCTCTGATGTAATCTTTTCCCTTTTTCCTTCATCATTTGCCCTTTTCCCCAGACTGGAGTCCACAGAAGACCAGTCATTATTGAGTGTGTGTTGAGTGCCAGGTGCTGTTCTAGGATCTGGTCAAACAAGTGGTAAACCAGTGAGTCCAGGTCCTGCTTGAATGGCAGGAATAGGCCAGAAGGTAAAGTAGACTTTGAACAGATCATCAGGGGTATGATAAAGAGATGTATAGGGGTGGCCTAACCCAGGTAAAGTCTATTGGGTTTCTATCCAAAGCTGGTGGTGGGGCACTGGCCTTGAAAAGGCGAGTTTGACTTGGTTACTTGCTTAGCACAACTAAACCCTCTTGCCGCTTAATCATGTCTTTCCCATTTTTGATGAGCTAAAGCAGCAAATAAACAACTCGGTCTCCAGACTGCTCCAGAGCTAAGACACAGGCCAAGAAAAATCATGTTAGATGTAGAGTTCAGTG